GGACGAAATCCTGCACCTAAGAAACCCTGGAATGATGATTCCCTCCGTAAAATACCAGCCAACAATGGTGTTACCATGGTTCAAAGATTTAGTCCATCCACAGTATGAAACCTGTGACACCTTTGAGGACATACGCAACGTCCGACTCCTGTTTGACTTTACAGACTTCTCCCAAGAACCCTTACCGGCAAACCTCTCCACTTGTGTCTTGCTGCCCTTTGGGAACTCGGTTCGTATTCATCCAGATTCGCAGCTCGAGGTCGGCCCCCCCAAAAAAGAAGTCGAGACCAGCTCAGGCCAAACATCCGCGTTTTGGTTTGGTTTTACTCGGCCTACAGGGATTGAGGTGGTCGCTCGGGAAAATGACTTCCTGTCTCCGACTTCCCGGGGCGCCACGTCTTTCTTGGCCGTGAGAGGATTCGAGGCCACCTCCGGAAGTTAACGTCTGGTGAGTTTTGAATTGGGAACCGCTTCCAACCAAACCCAAGCTGAAAACATCGCAAAGCCCGGAGATCTCCAAGACCTTGCTACATTCCTTCAGCTGACCTGCTTCCTGAGCGGGATCGGAGATTCTAAACAGTTCGGAAGGAATCAACGGCTGTAAGCTGGCCGTTTGCAGGCATGGGGAAACTCGAACAAGGGCGTCCCTTTGGCTTCCCTTCTCTTGTTGACTCCAAAAAGAGGCGGCCTTAAGCAGTGTTGGTTTGGGGGCAGGAGTTTGCAGAAACATGTTTTCTGCGTTGTTGTTGCCTTGCCTATAGGAGTCTAGAACGCGTAGCATTCTTGAATCAAGGCCCCCCCCCCCCAAAAAAAAAAAAAAAAAACGTGCTCCTTTCACCCCTGGAGCTTGCCAAAAAATATGGGCGTCGCCGCAAGCCAATCGACAAGCTGCCCCACCTTCTTCCAGCTCTTCCTTCATCTCCTCCGCGCGTTTCAGGTGTCAAGATAGAAAACCTCGCCTTCCGGCCATGCTTCTCTGAGAGCAAGAACTGTTCGGAATGGCATAGGGGTGCATGTCACTGATGTCACTGGACGCATTGTGCTGCAAAGCTCTTTCGTGAGCTGCTGCCTTCCGGTTTTGCCACCCTCCGTCCCGGTTGTTTACCTATCAAGGCTACTTTATGAATTCCATGACCGTCTCCAGCAATCCCATCGTTTGGCCACGGCACGTGCAGATCATTTTTTTGAAAGGAAAAGAAAAGGGACATACATCATTGCCAGTTGTAGGGGCCCCTTATTTTTGGAAACATCACATGACATGAGGAAATCGGTACAGAACCAACATGCTTCAACACATGCAATCTCGTCCCATGGCTGCTGACTGTTTCGCCATTTCACCTGGTGTGTTTATGTCGAATATTCAAGAATCCAGGATAAAGTACGATGCAGTCCCTAAATACCCGAAGGACCACGGAAAATGCAAGAATTTACCATGAGGTGTGGTTGAATCGCTTCTACTCAGGGCAACAACTGTACACCACCTCCTCATCCCCAACAAGTAGCAGGCCCTCTGTGTTGATGACATCATTGCGCCAGTGAGTCTGGGCAAGGGTTGGCCTTCCGAGGAAAATAACAAGGACCGTCTCGAAAGGGATATCGACACTCTTGCCACGATTTTCCCGAGGACGTCAAAAGCCGTCTGTTGTTGGCCTCACTGCATTGCCTCTCACAGTAGATCCCATCCCAGCTTACTCCGGGACACAATGCGTCAGTTGTAGTCTCCCCCCATCTTGTGGGGAATCGGAATTCAAGTGTCCCCCCCTCCTCAACTCCCAAAAGGCGACCGAGAACATGACCACCCGCTCCTCATCGTTTGCGTCTGCCTCGCCATATGCCTCACCCGCCTCGGCATACTCTTCCGCGTCATCATCCGCCTGAGCTCACAGAAAGGCGCGCACGACTTTGGGCGACAGCACCTGCCCCCTTTGAAAAGCGCGAGCTCCAAAGGTTCCGATAGAAGTGTCTGCTTGGACCACAGATTCCAAACCTCGAAGTAGGGGACCCGCGAAATGATGGCTTTTCTGCTGGTGTCCCTTTAAACCCACAAAAATGGATATCCTCAACAAAAGACACACCTCAAGGTAGGACTTATTCAATGTGGGTTTGGCTTGGTTTGAGGGTTGGTTTTAGGGTTGAAACAGATTGAGCGAACAATTCCAAGGAGCCGGGAGTCTCGCATTTCGGCCAGGGGCAGTGCACGGACCATGCCGAAAAATAGACTAGGACACCAGTGGTCCGTAGGGACCGAACCTTCATGAGTTCAGCTGGAGCCTGACTTGACACTTCGGCCGGGTTCGCCTGGTCCATCAGGATTTTTCCCCGTCAAAAGTTGGTCAATTGACTGGTTGTGTCCATTGAAGCGATCGCCTCGTTTGGAGCTTGCAACAAGGTAAATCGCTCGGAAACCTCTTACGGTATCGTCACTTTGCTGGCGCGGTATGAACAGGACACATTCATGAATTTATGCATATATATATATATATTCGTTCCCACTTCAAAACCTCCGCCCTCACCGCATCATTACCCCCCAACCTCTCCTTTTCGACTTCTTCTTGGAACACCTAAAACAACTCTGATGGTCCCTTGATGTTCAGTTGAACACAACGGCCACATACAATAAGAACGTCCTCCGCGGGTTGGAGCAGCAGTCATCCCGGAGGCGCCTCCGTCTTCAAATACCTGACACGTGGGTTGGTTCTAAGAAGGTGCGCGCTGGATCAAGTGGGTGTTTTGAGGGAGCCCCCAAAATTGCGGGCTTTGCTTTTGGCTTTTCCCTTCCCCCTCCCCTCCCCAAAACAAAGAACGATTGCATCAAAAAAGACAAACCCAAGTTGTAGGGATGAAGGATGCGTTTTCATGCGGTGTACTCTCAATGTCCCAAAAGCGTCCTAGTTTTGACACGTGCGAGTGCTAGCAGAAAGCGATCCGACCGCAAAGCGTCTCGTTCAGACTTCCAGCCGTGGGGGGGTCTTGTCTCTCCTTTTTGGCTGGGAGGTACTCCTTTGTGTTCTTGAGCCTCTTGTCAGCAGAAACGGATTGTGGCGAATGCTTGCTTGTTGCGGTTGGCAGGCTTGTTGGCAGAACGTGTTTTTGCTGGTGGCTGTGGGTCTGTTCCCCGTTACTCGAGTGCAGCACGTGCTACAACCTGTGATGTAGAGGCCCTTTTTGGTATCCCCATTAAAAGGCGGCACAAGGCGGCACCAGGTCCCAAAAGGGTCCATACTTTTTCCATAACTCATGCGTGATGAAGGTGATGCAAACGATGTCGGCGGCAACCTCGGAACCGGACCCCAGCGCACCTGTTGATGAGGCTGCCCAAGGAGTCGTCCGCCATGTGCCCGGTGGGCGAGCAGTAGGGTCCAAGGCCGGTCAGTCGATATCCTTCGTGTCGGTAAGCTGTGCAACTCGTCCACGACTTGAAAGCTAGTTCTACTGCGGGTGGACGAAATCCTGCACCACTTGGGATAGATGCAACTCTGCAATGTGATAAACCACCTACCAACTGGTGCAGGATTCTGTCCACAGTATGGAGAACTGGAACACCGCCCATGCATCACATCTTGGTGTCAGCGCACAAGGCAGAGGGAGCTGGAAGGGTACCTTCTGGGGACTGCATGAAATCTGAAGAAGATCCCAACTGCCCCCCTGAGCCGAACACAAGCGCTGGCGAGACATATGGCACACACACGGGCCCCTTCAGCGCCATTGTTAAACACTTCTACTAGGGTTCCGGTGGGAGAACAGAATCCAACCAAACATGAACACCCCTGCAATCAAAGAGTTCATCCCAAATTCGTGTCGGCTTTCTGCTATTCAACACCAAGGTTCCCTGCACACAAAGCGTGGGGCGAAGCACAGCGAGACTCAAAAATAACCGCAGGCTGGGATTGTTGGAGTACTGTGGCCAACAGGCCACAAACAGAACCACACCAAGCGCGACAGAAACGCTCCATGTTCCTGGCAAGTGTCCAGCCATGTCGACACCGGTCCTGCAATGTGTGCAACATGTGTCACAAGTTCAATTTCCTCGGTGAAGGCCTTGCTGAAACCCTAAACCCTCCTTTCGGCATTCGGCAATCGCCGGTTCAGATGGGAAGGCTACCAACCCAAACCCTGTTGTTTACCTCGATAGCGCCTACCAAAAGCTGGTGCATCCACAGGTATCCTTTTGGTAAAATCGGGAGGTTTCCTGGATGGAATAATACCGATCTCAACCAGTGGTTGGGTTTGTCGTTCACCCCGGCAAGTAGCTGCTGCCTTTCTTCGCTAGTGTTTAACCTGGTCGGCAAATCAATACTGTGCTGGGCTGTTCCCAGATCCCCTGCGAAAAGTCTAACTTTTAGTGGTGTGGGAACGATCACTGGACCCCAAAAAGCTAAAAAAGCCAAAAACCTAAGGGGATGGCTCAAAACATCCACCAACATGATTCATGGCATACTCAACAGCCACGCGGCATTTCCCCCTCGAACTGACCTTTTTTGAGTTTCCGGAGCCAGACGTGAGCCATCGCGCCGCGACAGGCGTAAAGGCTACGGCAATTAAAACGGACCTCTGTGGGCTGTCCTCAGATCCCCTGCGAAAAGTGCAAGTTTTAGTGGGTCGAGTGGAACCCCCCACTCAATTTTAAAAAGCTGAAAGCCAAGGGGATGGCTGGGAGCCAGCAAGTGACAACTGCTTGGCCGAACTGCAGGCCCGGCCAATTTCGATCAAACGCGCATTCAATCTGCGTGAAGCACGGGCTGTTGCCCGTACCCCTTGTGCAAGACCCTTGGCGTAATCCCCTTGCCAGCGTGTGTCAACTGTTGCCCCCTCTCTCGGGTGACGCCACTTGGAAAAAGGATCCGCTTGTCGGATCTTCGGCATCTGTGGCATGTGTGCGAAAAAGAGTTGTAAACACGCGGGACGGCCTGCAACATGTCAACTATTTGCTAGGCGAAAATGAAGGACCCGCAAATGGGACAAGGGCCAATTAAGGATTAGTCAAGTCTGTCAATAGATCTCTACAAGAGGATGTCAAACGCGATGCTCAGCAGCAAGCCGATGTACAACCACACCGACACTGTCCAGCCCTGGCGACAAAACTCTCGGGAAGATCCCGGCCACGGAAAACTGGAGACGAAACTCCATCTCGAAGGCCATCCCATCGCGTTCTCTGGTTCCAACGCGTCACAAAAACGCATGGAAAGGACAATTGGGCGCTTCTTTTTGGCAGGATGTGGTAAAGGCAAATCGAAGGACCCCTGGCCATGTCATCACGTCAGTTGCTTTGGCTTCACCAACATGCAAAACCCAGGCAACGCCCCACCCGCATCCGACATGTAACCCGAGCCATGAACTCCGGTCTGACAAATGAAAGACAACTGGCGATCACATTTGAGACTATCTGGACGAAATAAAAAGTTGGACATACAGTGTGATCACTTGAGCATATTGACATCGAAACCTGCACAAGGCAGCAATCTGTTTCATACTCTTCTAGTTGACACTTTGATGACAACTCCGTCAACTTGTTAGGGTTGCTCGATGAATACGCTAGATTGGATTGAGAGAATGCTGCACATTGACCGGATCTGGTGTTCGCATTGCACTCCTGCACAACATTGCTGACGACTTCTCTGGCAACATGGTTGGGTGTCTTATATATTTGTATGTATATCTAGAGTCCTGGGAATCTTGAACTGAATTTAGATCCAAAAGTGATGTAAAGCGCTTTAAAGGGTTTTGCGGGCCCATACTGGATTCAAGATTCAAGATCTAGAAACCTAGAAATCTTGAATCTTAAATCTTGAATCTTAAATCTTGAATCCAAATGTGATTTGAAGCGCTTAAAGCGTTTTAAGGGGGCCATACTGCATTCAAGATTCAAAATCTAGAGTCCTGGAAATCTGGAATCTTGAATCTTAGATCCGAAAGCTCTTCAAAACGCTTTAAAGCGTTGGCGTTCAGTCATTTGTGGTTGGTTGTGCACCTTTCTATTTTGTTTGCACTTGTGTGCGGTAAATACAGCTGATAGTTTAGCATATGGACATTGGACAATTATTTCTTTAAAACATGCTTTAGAAATCCACGCTAGCCCTTGGATATTGAAAAAAACACTGTAAAGACCAGTGTGTTGCATGCTGCTTAGCAGGTTTTGTGCAGAACATATTTCGTTCAGGGAAATTAGTCATTTTAGCAGACAGCGTGGCATTGATCAAGGAAAGTAAGATGTAACCAAATGCTTGGCCTTGCGACGGTACTCATGTTTCCAGTCAATTGAACGAGGATAACATTAGTGATGAAGACTATGAAAAACACAACTAATATGGCCACATTCTAACAGCAACACATGTGAGAACATCACGGTTTCTATGGCAAATGACAGACATTTCTGAACACTTCAGAGATGTATGTATGACATATCACGGCTTAGACCCTGTGTGTTATGACACTTTACCTAGCTTGGCTTTTACAATGTACCTAACTTTGCTTCTGATGCGATGTTCAAATTAACTTGTGCGGAAATATATTTAGTTTATGACCAAACGATGAATGAAATGATTGAACAAGGATCAACAGGAGGAATGCCAAACATTTATCAGAAAGTAGAAGAAAATACGATTTAAGTGGGTAGCAAGGTCTTAATGAATCAGCTGCGCAAGTCTGCCACAGTGGTTATTGGTAAACATCCACCTAAAATGACCTGACTTGCCTTACACAAGCAGCAGGCGCTGCCTTTTGGGGGAGGGGGGGGTGCATATATATATATATACCTAGGTCTTCCGTGGGCACTTTCTACTGGATTTGTCCGTTTCGAGCACAAATAACGCTCATGTCATCCAAAAACGCTCAATTCAAAAGAAACCGCTCAATTAGAAAATGGTTCTGGTGTGTGTCCGCAAATTTCCGCTCATTTCCCGCCGCTGTCCGTGCATTTTCCGGGAGAAAACTGCCAAATCGAGGTTTCCGCTCCTTGTCGGTTTTTTCCGCTCAAGATCTGAAACGAGCAAAAACAAAAATGCCAAAAAGAGACCCCAAAAGTGAACCAAGTGGAAGACCCAGGCTATATATATATATATACCAGCTATCATTTTGTGTGTGGTGTGTGTGTGTGGTGTGTGTGTGTGTGTGTGTCAGATAATGCTTGAAGGGCTTTTTTCACAGATGTTTTTTTCAAGAGCCGGGAGGTCGCTGGGTTTCCTCTCAAGATCGTCAAAACGTTTGGGTCGGCGTGCCGAAGGAATTCGTGGAGATTTGCCGCTTTTGGGGGGCCAAGGCAGGGTTTCCAGCCCAAGCACTCTTCCAAGGAGCCATGGATTTTGGCTAGAGGGGCCCCAAATCATGACAGCACTCGAACTCGTTGTCTTCTTGAAAACAACCCACAAAGAATGGTCCATGCCTCCAATCGGCTTCATTTCGGAACCCGCCAGTAAATTGAGATCTGTCCAAGTTGGTCCCGGGCAGAATATATCCAAGAACCGCAGGCTGTACAAGGAAATCCGAATCAAGAGGCGTGGTCAGATGCCAAAGAAGCCCCATGCCCCCCATTCACAGTGTCTCCCCTTCTCCCTGAGAACTGCGCAGTTCTGAGCGGGTTAAATGGGCCACCATCAAAACCGCCGAGTGGAGGTGATCGCCGCGATTGTTGTTCAGTCCCAAGTTAAAAAAAAAAAAAAGAAGAAAAAAAACACACGCCGCGTAGGGGACATCCAATCCCCTGGTCCCTCCGCCCGTCCACGAGTTCACCGCAGGCTCCGCCTCGCTCTCTTCCTTCTCATGCGCCTACCAGAGGAAAACCACTGTGGAATGCTAGGCGGAGACGTGGGTTTCCCCTCCTTCCACGGCACCTGATAGAGTCCTAGAGACCCTCCAAAGAAGCCGTGTTTGTTGGAGGAAGGGTACGACATTAGGTCTGTCATCCAGCTGACGCTTGCTAACAAGGAAGGGAAGGCAAATTTCCAGCAGGTCAACTGAATGAAGCCATAGAGCAGTCAAGTCTTCCGAAGTTGCAAAACACGTGGTCAACTCTTGGACACTTCCAGACAACCAGAAAAAAAGACACCCCAAGCCAAAACGACAACTTTCAGGTGTTTCCAAAACGACAGATCCATCTCCGGACGCTGCTCCCCGACCCATCCTTCCGGCTACCTTTTGGAGAGCCTTGAAACTCCGGGGGGGGGCCTTTTGGAGTCAAACTCGCCGCCTGCAAACCGCCTCACCCCGGGAGTTCTTGGCCAACTCGGCAGCCTTTGGAACGGAGTGAGGGGGTCTTGAAGTACCCTCCCGGCAGTGAGTTGCTGTGGGGTGCTATGACCACGCTGCAAAAGTATTTCACTTTTGGTGGGTTCAATGGAAAATTTAGTGCTTTCAAACAAAGATGATGTCCAAACATCCAACCAAATGGCCATAAAGAATGACCATGGATCCGGACAGGAGGTTGAAGACCACTTTTTTTTGGGGGAACCCCAAAAGTCCACTTGAAGGAGGGAGTGAGGGTAGATTGCGAGTCTCCTGTTGATTCCTCTGGTCCAGAGGACTTGCCGAAAGCTAAACTCCCACCGAAGCTACGACTTTAACGCATACTTGCTGGTTGCAAGGAAATCTCGAAGGTCCCTCTGCAGGAAAAACATGATGACATGGCAACCAAGAAAAACCGCTGGCCGTTTTGGGATGCAGGGAAGGGTGACGTTGGCAGCGCGAAGCCCGGAACAGATCTCTTCCGCCGAGTCTTCTGCGTCCTATTCAGACGCCTTTTTGTTTTCTGCCGAGCCCACCAGCCCCAAAGGGCTCGCTATCCAACCTCCAAGAGGAGCTCGTCTAGCACTAGGAAGAGCACGGCCTCATGGGAACACGAGTTACCTCCTGTTCGATGCGACCACAACCCACTTGACTGTGGGATCTGATAGTTGAGCTAGGCGAAAAACCTGGAATCCTTGTTACATGTAGAACTACCTACCCAGATGGCGGAAATTTTTAGGGAACCCCCTCTCCCAAGACAAAAATACATGGCACCCCAAGAAGTGTACCATCAAAAAAAATGATACACCCGAATGGCCAGGGCTTTTGGGCGCTTTGAGTTTAGCCCCGGATTCCAAATCTCCGATTCACCGAAGTGTTGGAATTGCTCCCCAGATTCAAGACCCCGGTGGGAAACAACCCATACAGTGGATCGATTCTTCACTTTTGCTTGAGAAACCCAAATGTACCGAAAGCTGCGTGGTTATTGTTGTTTTGGGGCACCCCTCCAAAGGTAGTTTTCCTTTCTGTCTCCGGGTGCCCTCAAGAAAAGACAGACCCGTCTATGAATCTGAGGCCGACATTCGGACAACACCGCTTGCGGAAACCCTCCAAAAACACAGGCCGAACACTCGTCTTTTGAGGCGTTTTTGATCGGTCCATTACTTTGAAGCACCCCGGACTTGAGTCACAATCAAAACCCACAACGGGGAGTCTACCCGCATCCGTGTAGAGTATTGCTACCAGTACCCCCAGCCCTGTGAGAAAAGGGCTGCAACTCACCAGATTTTCTTTACAAAAAAACACGGTTTATGCACGGACGGTGGGTGGATGCTGGGTGGGAGGGAGCAACCCCTGCACAAAAACGTGGCGGAATGGTGCCATCTTTGGTGAAATTAGATGCCACAATCGCCGTGTACGTGGATGATTTAACCCGAATGAGGGAATCGCGCGATCTACTTTCACACTGGGTCTTTTCTTGGGGTGCTCCCAACATGTGTCTTTTTTGGCGTCCCCTGTTTTGCGCACCCAACAATCAGGTATGGATTGGTGGTTTGGGGCTTTGAGGGCAAGTGGGGGAAACCCCATCCGACCACAACCCGGGCTGCGTCCTCAAACCAACACGGAAGCTGAAACCACCGGTCGCCTCTGCTCAGGCCCCGGCCGCTAGTGCAAAGGCCTCGTTTCGCGAGAGTCGTGGACGAGTTACCCTCCCAGTGCCATGTGAGTGGAAAAGCAAAAGAAGTTGAAACAGCGGGGGTATCGAATTATGATCAATCGAAAGAGGGAACAGGTAGATTATTGAAGAGAAAATACGGAAGAAGTATAGAACAAGGAGTATAGGCCAAATTCATCTAATGAATTGATGAAAATTGAGTATGCAGCTGCTAGTGTGTACGGGTCAACTCACCCCCAATCCCCTCCCACTCCCCACACCCGGCCTGCTTATCAAAATGAAGCATGTTCCAATCCGCAATCCATGGTCGGATTCCACCACAGCATAACGTGTCACCTGGTGATGCATGTTCGCCCTAGAACTTACGTTTGATCAGCGGTCAACTGGTTAACATGTCACGGTCAACATCGTGTCGTCCAGGCCGGCGCCACTGTTGGGGGTCCTATTCCTACACAAAAAGACGAGCCACCCATTTTGGGAAAGACCAAAGTAGACCAATTTGTTGTTGGGTAAGGCGAGCGAAAGATTTCTATGGACGTGTCCCTTTTTTGAGGATGCCCCTTTTTGGAAACCAACAGAAAACCACGTTTTTGCCTTTTTGGCGTTTTTGTTTTTTGGGGGCGGGGGGGGGGTCCCTAAACACAACACGCACTCCTGCAGCAAACATGCTAAACACTTTGTTGCGTCCGAGTAGCCAGCGTAGCTTCCAATTTAAAGGCCTGTGGCCTGATTGTGTGAAGTAGTTGCCAATGTCAAGAACAACAAACCAACAAGTCGGATGGATAGGGTGTGATGTGTCAGGTAGGTGTTTTCCTTTTCCTAAGACCCCAAATCCTGGCGTCATTTGGTCCTTGGCTTGTCAAGCCCAAACTTTGTGGAAGAATCGTGGGAGTGACTCGCAAGCGTATCTGGTTTTACACCCCCCACATGTCGCAACGGTTTTCCTTTGGGTTTCCCTTGAAAACCAACCTAAAGGGAGCTCCCGAAAAAAGACGAGCCACCCGACTGGCAAGTGCAAGTTGGTGGCGCAACTGGTCTGAAACTTTAACAAGGGAATGACCATACCGCTCACAACGGCTGAGCATAGTCTCATACTTTAACAGGGGTGGTGGCCGTTTCCGGGCAACAGGTGAAGGCTGTTTGGGAACCTGCAACTGGAAACGTCAAGAACCAGGACGCGGAGTCTTCAAATTGGGATTGTCCCAATTTTGGTTAAGCAGGGATCCTGACATATACACCTGAACATTGCCTTGGAAATGGAAGTGTCCCTTTATTTTGGTGGAAAAAGCCATGTTTCAAATGGGCAAAATGTATCTTTTAAAGAGCCCTGTTAAGAACAGGCAGATTTGATACATGTCTGCTTCAATTGTTTGAAGCCTTCAAATTGGGAGAGGGTGCCTGCAGGAGCTAAGGCTTTGCCTCCAAAACAGGGGTGAGGCTTTGGATGCCTCGTGTAATTGGTGGATTGGTGGGTTAGAGGTTAGGGGGGGGGGTCAGATCCCCAAATTACCAATCCAAGCACCAACTAAGGGGTAGATGAGTGCTGGCAGATAGGATTTCGGATGAAGAAAGTGCAGACCACGAACTTAATGTCTCAAGTCTTTCGCGGAAAACCGTCTTATCGTTGACTCTCAGAAAAGCAGGCCAAAAAAAAAACCTTCCGTGTTCATCATTTGTTTGGGGTCCATACTCAAAGAAAAACGCCCTTCAAGCTTCGAGTTGCCAGATCACGGGAAACGGCTCCCTTCCCCCCCCCCCCCCCGAAGCCCCCCCCCCCCGAAGCTTCGCCCTCGGGTCCCCGGCAATCAGCCCCGCAAAGACCGGAGTGGACTTGGCCTGCGGAGTTGTTTTAGCCACCAGCACCGCTGGGTGTTCGTCCATGTGATTTTGGGTACATGGCTGTGGTGGTCAAAACCGTTTTGGGATCCCATTTTGGTAGGTGAATTCGCCACCCTTTTTGGAACCTACTTTAGCGTCAATTGGGATGTTCACTGGGGGTTTTCTGACCCACAGCCAATTGAACATGCTCCGAATCACTCGGGAGCCCATCTTCAAAAGGCGACCGAATGACTCATTGTGAAAGGCGGCACGGACTATGGGTTGTCTCACGCCACATGGCTGTGGTTGTCAAGACCGTTTTGGGATCCCATTTTGGTTGGTAGGTGAATTCACCACCCATTTTGGAACCTACTTTAGCGGGAATTTGGATGTTCACTGGGGGTAGGGGATTTTGAGCCACGGCCATATGCGGAGTCCTTGTGTACAACCATAGGGATGGGGAGATCGGCTCATTTCCGACTCCCCCCACTTCCTGAGCAGAAAGGCCCAAAACCGTGCGGTAGATTGTGGTTTCCACTCACATGATCTAGAAGTGCGGCGTTGGGGCGCATTCATCTGCAATCGGCAAGCCACTGGACACAAATCTGCACCAGTCGAGCACATGTCCTTCTAGCAGGAGCAAAAGCAAGGTCAAACGCCTTCTTGCAAACAGATCGCTCCACCTGATCAACGCCACAAAACCGGCTGTGTGTATAGGTCGAACCTGAGTGTATGGCTCTATAGCTTCAAAAGTGGTGTGGCTCGTTCTCACTGCCGTGGATTGGGCAAAAACAAAGTAACCAAACTTCTTGTTTACCACTAAAATGGCAACCCAATAAGCTCAAAGTCCATGAGCTCTGTTTTTTTTTGTTGTTTTATCGGTTTAGGTAGGCACCTTAGACCTTTGAGCTTCGAGTGGCTGGCCTCGAAGGAACCCGCCGCTCAAGCCAAGGACTCGGGGAGTCCTCTCAGTTGAAATCAAGTCCCTTTCAAAACCAAGGGAAAACAAGAACCACATTCATTATTCATTTCAGCAAATGGAAGTATACCATCCAGGTGTTCCACTACTTCTTGTCTTTTTCCTCCAGTAGATTAAAATGGGACCAACTTTGAGACACACACAAACACACATGAGCAACGAGCAAAACCCATTGACTTTTGGTTCTCATGGATAGCAAGGTTTATATAGAGACTACTATAATTCCTATTGAAGCAGTTTGTAGAACTATCTACCAAAATGGCCAACGGTGGTTTTGGGAGGTTCTTTTGTAGTACTCTGCTAGTACTCTTTAACGTCCTAGGGTTGGTTCCACAAAAGCCACATCCAAAGCGTCTTCAAATCCGGGCTGTCCTCAGATCCCCTGCCCTGCTAAAAGTCTAACTTTTAGTGGGTTCACTGGATACTACCACTAAGCCAACTAAAAGCATCTAAAAAGCTAAGGAACCGGACGGCTGGGAGCCACCCGGAGATGAAGGAAGTGCGAAAATCAAAAACAATCAGCAAATGGACAAATTCTCACCCCCCCCCCCCAAAAAAAAAAAAAAAAAACACAAAATGGTCCAATTCCAAAAAAATAATCAACTTCAGTCACTCCCAAACCAGGAAGACTGCTCCGCCTCGTACGCGCCGAGAAAGGCCACGGTGGAGGCGAAGAGCATCATCACCGGCGGCACCTCGCGAGTGTTTTTGTGCCGACTGGCGGCCAAAAAACATCCCCCCGGGGGGACAAACATGAACCCAACAAATTGCAGAAGGGGTGCTCCCTGGGATGTAGTTTTAGCGCTGCAAAGCTCAGAAAACACTGCGAATACCATGGTTTTTGGGGGTCGCAAATACCGGCGTTCGTGTTGGTTTCCCTTTAAACCACCCAAAAAGGGGTCCCCCTAAGAAAAACACCCAAATGTAAACCACCGCATTTTGGGGGAGGCACCACCATTTTGAGATCCCATATGGTACATGCCCTGCAGTCCAACGGAAGGAATCCAAACGGACCGATCCATGTTTAGAGGAATCGCACTTTTGGGGGGGAGCCTTTTTGGCCTCCAGGGTAATCTGCAGGGGAGTACATGATTTCGTTGGTTTGACGGGCAGTCACAGGGCTTCAAGCGTCTTGTTGGATGACTTTTGGGGCAAATGACAGGTTGAAGAATTGGGATCTGATGCCTCCTGACTTTGATTGGAAGAAAAATGAGACTGGTAACAAAGGAGTTGTGACGCAAGCATGTTCGGTACCAATCCAGCAGAAAAGCCGCATCTTCAGCCGGATATCTGCAATCCCCGCATGGGATTTTGAATCCCCACAGGGACACCAGTTCCGGGGTGTGGGGCTCATTCGCACCTCGGCCTAGACATGAGAAGCACCCCATTTCGCAGCAATAAGCTCTGAACACTTGGAGCGAGGTGCTTGCTTCCGCTTAAGATTTTCGTCACACATAGTACCCTCTCACCACTTAACATGGAACGTCACAGACAGGGGGTCCTGGAAGAGCATGTTCCTTTCAAACGGACCCCCTGTCGTGTTCCATGTTAGTTGGTGGGAGGGTATCCAAGATTCACACTATGGCTGTTTTTCAACAGGAATGACGCGTCCAGGCTTCACTTTCCCTTACCTTTGCCATCCTCATCAGTTCCTAAATCCAAAGGTGTTGCCTAGATTCCTACGGAATCGGGAATGGAGTCTGTGTAGGCCAAGTACAAATGCTTGTTTGATCTAATCCTCGCAGTCTCGCCGATCCCAAGATCCCAAGATCCCAAGACTCATGACGTCCATGTAAGTTCCAGTCCCTCCATCGCTAAAAACGGAAAACCCGCCATGTCTCACTCTCGAAATCTCAGCAATTGGTAGGGAGTAGGAGAGTGAAAGATGGAAAAGAGAAAATCGCAAAGAGACACGAAATGTATCTCTTGGACATAAACATACGAATAAGATATAGATAAGAGAGTGAAGTATATAGGAATACGTGCATTGAATAGAAAGAGGGGCAAACATATAAACATCGAAAAGGGAACTAGGTAAGAGATATGAGTCAAGAAACATAAACATCTATAATAGGAAGAATCAAGCCATAACAAGATGCACACCTGTATTAATCATAAGCATGACATAAATAATAAATAAGAAAACAATATACAGCGCAATACAAAGGACTGGGCTTTGCCAGCAATCTCCTTTGTCGCGGTTGTTCGAGTTGTAAACTGATCTAGTATCTCTTCTTTTTACATTGCTTATCTGTCTCTTATTTCATTCTGTGTTCATGTGTCATGATTGTAGCCGGCGGTCAAAAAAACCCAGCACTGCTACAATTGAATTTATATTCCCTTTCTTTTCTATTCGTATGGTGTCTCTGCTATAGTTCTGTAATTGTCTTGCTGGTGCTTAGCAGGGAATGTAATTGTCTTGCTGGTGCTTAGCAGGGAATGTGGGAATGAACGCAGGGGTCCCCTAAAAGGAAACCACAAGGGACGGGTTTATAGGGGTCATTCCAATTCTCATTCCCTGCCTATCGCACCAGCAAGTTGTTTGTTTGGCATGACTGTGGGACATCTCAAAGGAGGTGGCGCCACGAATCGAAGGGCCCGAAACCCGGGATCTTTCGGCCTTGCACTCTGTTCATGAACTACCCCGAACCTCCAAGCCTGATTTTGCCTGAGAACTCTCAGGAAATCATCAATGTTGAGGTGTCCTTCGACTAGGGTCCCCCTTGTTGCTCCAAAGTTCACCATAAGGCCCATGCAGTCCCGCGCCACAATGAAACAAACAAAAACAAACCTATTTGCAGGAATCGCCTTTTTTTGGGCGATCCGAAGACCTTTTTTGGGGGGTTCCATGTTTGCAGTAACCCCCCGCCACCCCCGTGGTTCCCGCGTCCGGTTACGCCCCCCGCAAACCCGAAAAATCGCGAAAAGCCCCGCCGACAAGATGGCCACGGCCACCCAGGGACGCCGCAGCGCCTGGGTGGCATAATGGGATCAATTCCAGGTTGACCCCAGATGAAAATTTCAACCCCCGTTTATTGATAGGTCCTGCAGAATTGAGAGGTTAGAATAAGTGCACCCGATTTTTTTCTGCAGTCTAGTTTAGTAGGGGAACCCTCCGCCGAAAAAGCGTAAAAGGGCACTGCTGGGGGACCTGGTATTCAGAGGTGGGGTGGTGTTTAGGCCCTCCAAAAGTAGTCTGAGTCTCCACTAAAGCCTGAATCGGAACCCCCATACTGACAATCTGGGGTTTATTCATACTGCGGAGGGTTGCGAAATCCAATTCGCACCATTTGAGAGCCATGGTTGAAACCATTGTTTGTTGAGATTTTCAGGCGAATCGAATCATTCCAGGGGGTTCTTAGGCGGTGCAGGAGTTTGAGGGGGGGTGGTGTTTGGGCCCTCCAAAATGGTCTGAGTCCCCACTAAAGCCAGAATCGGACACCCCCATACTGATAAACTGGGATTGATTAATATGGGGTCAACATTACCTCAATTCACTTCCCCAACGAATCAGCAACCACCAGAATCAAAGACCACAAACACCCTACGATCTGATGAATTATGACCATACCAAACGATTGACCTGCCACATCCAAATCAATACGTGAATCGAGCCACATCCAAATCGGAACCAATCATATCGAGTAGACCATTTCTAAACCGGATCAAGCCATACAACAACCAAGTGGAAATCACACGGGCACAAAGAAAAACATCAACCACGTGCAACCATACCGAAACTGTATCAAAACCAAACCAAACCAATCTTAGAGGTGGAACCACTTGGTGTTTTGAGTGACCTGATTGCATTTCAAGTCGTTTGCAAACCTTGTAAGATTGTGTTTGCTGTGTGCGTGTGCGTGTGCGTGTGCGTGCGCGTGCGCGGGGGCGCGGGGCGCGGGGGCGCGGGGGCGAGGGCGCGGGCGCGGGCGCGGGCGCGGGCGCGGGCGTGTGCGTGTGCGTGTGCGTGTGCGTCTGCGTCTGCGTCTGCGTGTGCGTGTGCGTGTGCGTGTGCGGGTGTGTGTGTGTGTGTGTGTGTGTGCGTGTGGGTGTGGGTGTGTGGGTGTGTGTGTGTGTGTGGGCCTGCTTCGGTTTGGCTTGCAAGAACGCGTGCATCTGTGCGAGCGCGCGCGCGCTTGCATGGTTTTGTTCACAGCACATTTAGCTTGACCCCTGCCTGGTTGAGATACTGCCGAATGTTGATCCGATGGCTTGCTTCAACCTTGTCTATATGGCCATGTGCGGGTCAGCGAGCAAATGGTCCACACTTTGGTGGCTACCAGGAGCAAACGCAAACTCTAAACTTCAAACATGTACATTGGGGACGGCTCTCAAGGCTTGCAGAATTCATTCAAACAAAATATATGTCCAAGCCAAAAGGCAACCAAGGTAAACCTTTTGACCGGTTGAGGCATGTTTTTTTTTTACTAGCCCCGGATTTTTACTAGCCCCGGCTCAGCACAAGGCCGCCCCCATGTGACCCTGAAGAGGTTGGCTGGGAACCCTTGCTTACAACAGGCAGTATTCTCCAGGGGCGTTGGGGGTCGGGTTGGTGGGCCGCATCCCCAGCATCCCCAGCATCACCGGCCTCGCTCGGACTACTTCCTATTGGCTTTAATTTGGTGGCAGTTCAGAGTTGCTCCGGGCAAATAGGCAGCCCTGAACTGCCACCAAATCAATAGGCAGCCCTAGTCCGAGCGACGCCGGTGATGCTGGGGATTCTGGGGATGCTGCCGCCCCGCTGACCAACCAACCAAACCAACCAACCAACCAACCAACCAACCACCCAACCACCCAACCAACCAGTCCCCGACTCGGAGCTTGGCCCTAGTAAAAAAAAGGTTCCCCTTTTGACCCCCACTTCCAAAAAAAAACTACACTACACGGGGGTGCCTCTTTTTGTCTCCCTTCTGCATCGCAGGCGTTTTTCAGCGGAGAAAAAAACGGGGGGAGTCAAAACACGCACATCTGAATGTTATTTTCGGGCGGAACGTTTTACCATTTCCCACCCCCCCCCCCCACTTTCTCGGAGAAAAAAAAGGAATGGACACGAACAGGGCCGAGGCCTTGGTCAAGGAGATGGCGAAGGAGTACCCCAGGAAGCCCATCTCGATGGCAGTGGCCAAGGCCTTCGGGCTTTCTCGCGGCTTTCGGAGCGCGAGAGGCGTGGAGCTTTCTGGGTGACCCTTGTGGGTTAGGGAAACCAAAAGAAAACCCAAAGGAAAAACCATGGGTTCGTTTCAGGGGAAACGAATTAGGACACCAAAAGGACACAGGAAGCCAAAAGGAAACCAAAAGGAAACCAAAAGGACAAATGTTGGGTTTGTTTTTCATTTTGTGGGGTTTCTATATTTTAAGACACGCCCATTTGGCGCGCTTTTCCGGAGGTTTGCGGCTAGCCTCCCCAGGTTCAGCACTCAACCTGTGCGTTGGCCTCCGTTTCATTCAACTTGTGAAAGGGAATTGGGCGAGTGTACGTCCTCCGCTTGCCGGTGGTGAATTGTGTTCAAGTATGTCTCATCCCCATTTTGCAAGCGCTGCTCTTTAGGGGTGCTGCTCTTCCAGGAAGCCACCAAAAATGGGCCTGGAAGCTTTGTGCCGTGATCTTCCCAAGCAGCTCCAAAGAGACCAAGAGACCTGGGAAGCTAGAATTTACAGAGGCCTTCCACAGCAGCGAAAAGCGAAAAGGCGGATAGAAATTGGGCGCTTGAGAACCGTGAATGCTCATCACAGCACAGGATATTCTTGAGGCGCGGTTTTCTGCAAACAACTTCCAGATCCGCCACGATGCCCACCCCCCCCCCCGGCCAAAACAAAATGGAACACGATGCCCCCCCAAGAAAAGAAACAACAACAACAACAACAAAAACATGGAACACAATGCCCCCCCCCCCAAAAAAAAAAAAGGTCCAACAAAATAAACGAAAACAATGAAGGGCCATCCCTTCAAACCGGGTACCCAGGCTTTCTTGACCATCTTCGGCTCTGAGGCCAGCACAAGCAGGAAGCCGCTGCCCTGAGCCACAAGCCCAGTCAGACACACACACACACACAAACACACACTTGGGGTTCGCCTTTTCCACTGAAATGAGCGGCCTCCCTTGAAAAGGGCTTTGACACTACCAGAAAAGCTGCTTATTTATCCCGCAAACAGTGGAAAAGGCAAACATTTGGTGAAACTGTCCAAAGAAAAAATGGACTTCACGTGACCTGCTTGGTTGAAACAACGTGTACCCTCCCATGGCAGGCTTTTTAGGGGTCCTGGAAGACCATGTTTTTCAGGGACCCTGCTTGTTGGGATACTTGCGCAAGAGTATTTCCTTTAGTGCTATCTCAAAGACGACAAACATGCTGTGTCCCTCTGAGGTTGGAACCCGATGACATCATATTTATCCTGGCCGCGGCCTGTTGCGTGACACGACCTATGCCCTATTGAAACCCTATTGGAAAGGCACTATCGCTAAGAGGTACCAACTACTGGTGTGCAAGATTTGCGTGGGAGGTGAGCCTTTCAGCGATTCCAAAGTGCGCCATTCATGCCATTCATGCTATGACTACTCGGTCTATGGTCTACTTTGCCACTCTAAATGGGATTCCCTTGGTATCCCAGATATGGCAACCCAAAACCAAATGTCAACAAACACCATTTCGCTGTTTGGCTGGCAAAATAGGGCAGGTTCAACTTTATCTGGAAAAAACGCACGCGGAGACGCATGTGGGCAAAGCAGGAAAGGCACAAATGGATTCCTGAGCATCATAAACAAGGGGCACCTAAAGGCGGCCCGCTGACGTCCGTTGACATGCCACTTTCGAAGGAATGTGCTGGAAGAAGCCTGTGCTCACTGAGTCCATTCCAAAGCGCCTTCCTTGAGGACTCCAACACACCAAAAAAAATTATCGCACGGGATAACAAACCAAGCCTGCCTGATCTGCGAGAGAAGTACTTGACTAGGTCCTCCAGTAGAGAGGTTTGGGCACTTTTTCTGTAGTCTATTTTAGTAGGGCAACGGGGCGAGAAAGGGCACTACTGAAAAACCTAGTCAAACAGGATGCCCACAAAATTTGCGGAACCCAACTCGTCCGGACGGAGTTCGGCAGCCCGGCCCGTGCCACCGAGCCAGCCAGGCCGATCAGCATGCCTGCGAAGCGAACGTTGGTTGCGCCTTCTCCACTCGGCTTCAAGCTGCTATTCGTCAGGCCTATGTGGGTCTGTTTTGTTTTTTTGTTGTGTTTTTTGTATTTTTTTATTTAATGATGTTATGATGTTTCCCCTTTTGGGGTGATTTTTAAAGGGGAAACTAAAAGGAAAAC